CCACATACATAATATGGTCTTCACCATAAACAGTTGTCTATATACAATGTGTCAAACTTGAAATTGTACCAAGCTCTCAGTACGACTCAATTTTAATATAAGCTTAAACTCTAAGAAGTTTGAGGCAGAAAAATGTTATAAAGAATGCAGCACAACCCTTTGTTTTGACCTTAGCAAAAAAAAAAAGAAGTGTATATGAATTTTTCTATCTCAGGATACAATTTAAAAAAAAAAAAAATTATGGAAAAGTGGCATAGTTTTAGGTGTAAAAGTAATTCCTATGGGAAGTTGCATTGCATATTTACAGAAATGCAACCTATAAATATATACACACTGGTTTCAATAAACTTTACTTTATTTTTTTAGGTTATTGGAGAGTTTTCGTATCTTGAAAGCACGACTTCAGTCATCTCTATCAGAAGTATTCTATGAGGCAGCTACTGAAGAATGGATGAATGTTTACTTTTTTCCTAAAAAACACAAATTAAAGGACATCATTGAAAATGCCAGAAATAGTGGACTTTCGTCGTTAATTGAATAGATTTGTGTAAAAATGATAGTAGAAAGTGTTCATTAAAATGAGATTTATAAATTTTGTTCTTTATTACTTTTAAGAAATCAATAAGAGATCATGTAACATAATCAAAGACAATTTAGAGAAAAATTATCAATGGTCAAAATTGATTAAAAGTAAAATGTCCTATTTTTTGCTTATGGCTGTGAAATTTGATTTGAAAACTTGACTGTATCAGACCAAAATAATGTCGGTTAATTGGTGCATAAAACAAGACATATATTAGTAAAGGTCCAATGTTCATGAGAATGTAGTGAAATGATAAGTGTTTCTTTTTGTCCTTCAAATTCTACTAGATGTAGGAATAAAGAGATGTGATATGATTGCCTTTGAGATAACTAAAAAGACTAATGTACAATTGTTTTGGGTTCAGATATTGCGGACAATTAAAAACATAGAAAACTGTATACGACAAAAATGACCAGCAGAACAGGATCTACTAATAAGGCAACATGGATGAGATTGTCAGTTGATTCATTATAAAAGTTTTGCCCTTGAATGACAATTTAGACCATTTTCTGTAATAGTAATTTTAATTGTAGTAGGTGAAGCATAGATGATCAGTAGGACAAGACTTACAATCTAGCAACATTGACAAAATTGTGTGTTGATCCCCATTAGGAGTTATTGCCCTTGAAAGACTTGTTGTGCCCATTTTTGCATTTTTCAGCAGACACTTGAGTAGATTGAAAGAATTGTATATATCAAAATTAACCTTCAGGACTAGATCTACTATTAAGTCAACATGACTGAAATTGTTAGTTGACTCTTCATAGGAGTTACTGTCCTTGACTGATGATTTTTGATGAGTGAAGAGGATAGATTGCCGGATCCTAAATGTATTTGTTTTAATGAATATTCAGGTTTTATTTGTGATGACAATGGCAGATACTTTGCAAACTTTAATTTATCGCAGAGATAGCATACACTGTGAGGAATCTTATCATATTACATGCTTATGGTGTGCACTTTGAATGTGAGAGGAAATGTATCAGTGTTTTATGTATATTGTTCTCTAGATAAGTTGGAAAATTTTGCTTCGTACCGATTTATTAAATTAAGCCATTTGAATTTGATTTTTACATTTTGTTTTTATGTTGTGCTGTAACACCACTGTCCCTGGTAAAAAGAGGATTGAGCAAATTATACTTAAGTTTTCCGTGTTGTGTTATGTTTACTCTCTGTATTTTGATCATTTTCATATGTTGCCATGTCATTATCAGTTTGTTTTCCACATTGAATATTCCTAGGCATTTTTAGCCTGTGAATAGATGGGTATTACACTTCTCAGAGTTCGACCACACTTCAATAACTGCATATTGATAGTTCTTTCACCATAAACTGAATATAAATGTTACTTAGAACAACACCATGGCTAAAAAAGAAAAAAAGACCATAGAAAACTAGACTTGATCATCACGAATCCAACCAAAAAAGGGGGGTAACCTCATGTGCTCCGGAAGTTTAAGCAGATCCTGCTTCACATGTGGCACCCGTCGTGTTGCTCATGTAAGTACACACCCGGTGATAAGTTATAAAGATACAAAAAAACTGGAGGCTTTTAACAGCCCGTGTCACTCACCTTGATCTATATGCATTTTCATCAATGGACAACATTCATTACTAGAATATAATTTTGTTACTTAAATCTCATTTATGTTGGTCATGTTTTGCTAGTCATATTTCTGTTTACAGGTTCTTTAATAATTTACTATAGTTTTCGCAAAAATGGGTAAAAATCATCATTTAATGGCAATAACTTCTATAAGGAGTAGACAGCCAATTTTAGCTTTGCTGACCTACTGAAAATCTTGTCTTTTTATCATTTTTGAAAAGAGAAGCGGAAGATAGCAAAAGGACAAAAAGCCTGTCCCAAGTCAGGAGCCTCTAGCCTTTGTTAGTCTTGTATTATTTTTAATTTTAGTTTCTTGTGTACAATTTGGAGTTTAGTATGGCGTTCATTATCACTGAACTAGTATATATATTTGTTTAGGGGCCAGCTGAAGGACGCCTCCGGGTGCGGGAATTTTCTCGCTGCATTGAAGACCTGTTGGTGGCCTTCTGCTGTTGTCTGTTCTGTGGTCGGGTTGTTGTCTCTTTGACACATTCCCCATTTCCATTCTCAATTTTATTCAAACTCATATGCTAAGAACGATACTGCCATGACAAAAAAACGACAAAAAGAACTGACTCATCCTATTTTTTTAATGTTTATCTATCCTGACCCACTTTTATTTTCTATGTTTATCCACCTTGATTCACTCTCGCATTTTTCCTACACAGTCACATTAATTTTTTCCATATTTATCAAGCCTGACCCATCCTCCATCGTTTTGTATGTTTATCTTCCCCGTCTCATTCTCACTTTTTCACATGTTTATCTTCTCTTGTCCCACTCTCATGTTTTCCATGTTGATCTCCATTGACTAACCCTCACTTGTTTTCAAGTTAATATGCCGCTACCCATTTTTGAGTTTTTTCCATGTTTTTTATTACCCTGAACTATTTATATATTTCCATTTTGATCTACCCTAACCCATTCTCAGTTTTTACTAGGTTTTCTTTTTACCCTGAACTATTTATATATTTCCATTTTGATCTACCCTAGCCCATTCTCAGTTTTTACTAGGTTTTCTTTTTACCCTGAACCACTCATATTTTTCCATGTTTATCTACACTGACCATCCCCACATTTTTCCAGGTTTATTTACCCAAATTTAAATGTTTCTAGATTACCTTTTTCTTCAGCCTTTTTTCAAAGTTAATTGCTAAAAAATTCTTCACATTATAATACTTCCTGCTCTCGCCTTTTGCTTTTTTTTGTCATTATGATTCCCCACTGTCATTTTTCTCGGTTAATACTTTTTCGTATTTCCTTGGCTTATATCATCTTGGTGAGTTCCTTCACTATTTCTAATCGCAGCATTTCCTCGTGAGAAGCTTAATTTCCTTATGACAACCAAGTGTAAAACTTTCTAAGAGAGAGACAAAACCATAAATATCACAATAAACAGATTATTAATGTTTTGCATCAAGAAATTTGTATTATATCAGCGCTTGAAACAATGTAAATCTTTTTCGTCAGAGATGTCAACATTGTATTGGCTTATATTTGGAACGATTTTAATGCAGAAAACCTGATCATCTTCACTTATCTTTCTGCTATCTGATGTTCATCTATACCGCTCTCACCTCTTTTTCAATGTTTATTCACACCGTTCTCACATCTTCTTCCATGTTCATCTACACCGCTCTGACTTTTTTTCCATGTTCATCTACACATCTCTGACCATTTTCCCATGTTCATCTACATCTCTGACTTTTTTCCATGTTCATTCACACTGTTCTCACCTCTTTTTCCATGTTCATCTACACCTCTCTGACCTTTTTTTCATGTTCATCTACACCGCTCTCACCTTTTTTTCATTGTTTTTTCACACCGTTCTCACATCTTCTTCCATGTTCATCTACACCGCTTGCAACTATTTTTCCATGTTCATCTACACCTCTCACCTCTTTTTCCATGTTCATCAACACTTCTCACCTCTTTTTCCATGTTTAACTACACCTCTCTCACTTTTTTCCTTGTTCATCTGCACATCTCTGACCTTTTTTCAATGTTCATCTACACCTCTCGGACCTCTTTTCCATGTTCATCTTCATCTCTGACTTTTTTCCATGTTTATTCACACTGTTCTCACCTCTTTTTCCATGTTCATCTACACCTCTCTGACTTTTTTTCCATGTTCATCTACACCGCTCTCACCTCTTTTTCCATGTTCATCTATACCGCTCTCATCTCTTTTTCAATGTTTATTCACACCGTTCTCACATCTTCTTCCATGTTCATATACACCGCTCTGACCTCTTTTCCATGTTTATCTACACCTCTCTCACTTTTTTCCATGTTCATCTACACATCTCTGACCATTTTCCCATGTTCATCTCCACCTCTCTGACTTTTTTCCATGTTCATTCACACTGTTCTCACCTCTTTTTCCATGTTCATCTTCACCGATCTCACCTTTTTTTTAATGTTCATCTACACCGCTCTCACCTTTTTCCATATTTACCTCCACCGCTCTGACTTTTTTTACCATGTTCATCTACTCAGTACTCACATTTTTTCCATGTTCATCTTCACACTCTCACCTTGTCTGTGTCTCAACAAACTTGCAACATGTATACAATATATCAAGTTCATGTTTGCAATGTCCACAAATCATTATAAAACAACATACGATTATTATAAAGAACTTTTTTTTTGATGGCTTCAAATTCTTCACACGATTATTTTCTTCAGTAAGATAAAATCCAAGTACACAAGAACATGTAATTTTTGCTCAAACCATGAAAATTGTTACCCATGAATAAAAGTACTTTCACAGTACATCTTTTTCAGGTTCATTAGTAAAATGAAAACAAAATGCAAATAATATTTATTTTTATTTTCAACGCAAGATATTTCCCTAAAATAATCTCTAATTTGGCACAAACATTTGATAATGTTTACAGAACTATCTGTTCTCTGTGGAAAAAAGCCTTATTACTTAAAAATATTAAATTTCTTGCTGGTTATTGACTAATTTGTTTTTAGAATATAGTTTTTTGTCAAATTTATTTTTATCTTATATTTAGTCATGTTCCTTAAAAATAACTTCTCAAATGTGAACAAAACAAGACCAATACCAGGTTTGGACTGGTATTGCTGCATTTAATTGGTGACATGTTTATTTACTGAAACATGGCTGATGAAGATGATTTATGAAACTATGAAATTTTCTTTGTAATTATTTGCTTTCATAGAAGCTAAGTAAAGATTGACAAACATTTTCTATTTAAAACATGACTGTTGTAAAATTTCAAATTATTGGTTAACAGGAAGTAGCAGATCTGTAAATAACTTACATGCTAAACTCAACAATCTAGCTGCAAACCTAATAGAGATTATTTCTGTTCATAGATACAAAAAAAAACACTTTGCGAAATCATGTGTCTCAGCATCTTTTGACGGACAGACAAACAGAATGACCAAAAGTGGTTTCCACTTCTCCTTTTGATGTTACCAACATAGATTAAAATTTAGTTCGCTATTAATCAATAAACTTAAATTAGACCAATTCCATATTCTGTTTCCTGCCTTGTCTCCTCTGTTACAAAATCTATAACACTCAAGGTGCTACTATCAGTAATATGTTATTTTGATAAATGATTGTTAACTCATTCTAATTTGGTAAAAAAGGATGATTGGAAGGACCTACTGATTCTATCAAATAAAAAAAAGTTTTATCTCTCTACACATGTCCATTCTATATTGTGTGAATTGTATATGATAACACAAAATTTCATTCCAATCTGGGTTTAACTCATTTCGATATTGCGATTCTTTTTACATCATTCATATATTTTTATCAAGAAAGAAATTCTGTTTCAGTAAAATTCTAAAACAAGGAACCAGAATTTCTTAAGAAACCTAAAACTAACAATGAAAAATTCTATCCAAACATAAATTTATACAAGCATGTGTGACAACAAAACATGTTTCTTTAAAATTTGTAATCCATTTAAAAAACTGATAAACTGATTACTGCATTGTCTATAATCAATAATACAGATAATGTTTCCTACAACGGAAATTAATATTTCAAACATATTCTGCCAATGTTGATAAAATGTGTTGTATAAATTTACTAAAAAAGATTTCCAATGAAACATGTGTTCAAAAGTGTGATATATATTAATTTATAACATACAACCTGTTTTTAAACCTTCAACACTCTTTCGTAAAATAAAATACAACAAACGTGATTTGTGTAAAACTTTTAGCACTAAATAGCGTTCATATTTGTTTAGCACTAAATTAATTCAATTTGCTCTCTGACTTGTAAATTCCGAATTCAAATCAGACAAAATACAGTTATATGACCACTACAGATAATATGGTATACATGCAGATTCTCAACCAGAAAATGATTTATCACCAACCATCAAACTTCAGGATTCTCTCATATAAAGTATCTCAAACAGTATTATACTACAGTAACCTGTGATCAAAACAAATCTACAATAGTCCCTGTTGGTACTTTATCCTTGTATTTTTAACAAAAGTTAAAAATTTTATTGCTCATTTAGAACAAAACCAACTAATTCACACCAAACTGTTGATTTCTGATATTATAAAACATTCAGATATTAAACAGATTGAAATCATATTTAACATTAACTTTTGTTTATCTTTCTCAGTTTTTATATTTCATTTTGATGAAGTGATCCCAGATCTGTTGTTTATTTCATCATCACATTTAACCATAGCTGTACATAATATGATAAACAATAAAAAATAGAGCACCTTTGGAAATAAAACTACTTCATATCTCATCCTTACCTCAACATTGCCTTATAAGAAAAGCTGATATGACATTTGCACATTTGCATGCCACAAGCAACTTTTGATAAAATTGAAAACTATAAAATGTCACACAAGTCAAACATTTTTACAAGATTTTTACCGATATTATGACTTTAGAAAATGTTTATCCAAGAAACAGCAACAATCTTCTTTGTCTCCAATTCCTCATCCAACTCTTTCCTTTATAACAATCAATCATTGAATTGATCATAAATGATAAGGTGCTATGCATAACTGGTCCTGAGAATTTTGTACTATTGAACATTCGATATTACACAACTTGAGCACGAGGGTGTCCAGGAGGAACTATTATGGGTTTTTTATCCAATATTACACAACTTGAGCATGAGGGTGTCCAGGAGGCACTATTCTGGGTTTTTTACTTGGAGGTTCATCTGGAGCACCAATCAATTTCTCATCATATCCTAAATAATAGAGAAAAAAAAACAGGTCAAATTATATGTTACAGATTAATACATTGTATATTATAACATTGGTTACAATGAAAAACTGATTTCTTATGTGAAATATCTTATATCTGGTTATTTTTACGTTTAAGACCTTAAATTGCGCAGTTAATTTTTCGCTAATTATTCATGGTTGATGGTCTTGTACAATGCATTTAAATGAACAGTGAATGTTCAGGCAGGTTTAATATGCAGTGAAATGAAAACATATTACCCCAAAATACCTGAAATTTAGACACATGTATGCAAAAATACCAGATAGATGTTACATTAAGCAATTTTACTCCTCCAACTTAATACATTAATAATAATAGAAAAAGAAACGTCTAACAAAGGGGACCTCTGTTGCCAAGTGGTCTAAGTAGTTCAACAACTGTATCACTAGCCTGTCAACACTGAGGTTGTGACTTCAGGCCCTTCACGTGGTAGGTGCATTCGACTCCAAATCTTAATTGAATAGGATCAGTTTTCCTGCCTAAGGTCAGCGGTTATCTCCATCATCCTCTACAAATCAAAACTCCCTGCCATGAAATAGCCAATAGTGCTAAGTGGTGTTTTACACAAATCAATCAATCAATCAGAATACTCAACACATTAATGGGACTCCGAAGAAAATATGTCACAGAATTAAAAGGAAATGTTAGAAATCTTCACATGTATTAATCAATTCAATGTACTAACATAGAAATGTGTCTGCCGAAAATTTGAATACTCTTCCGACAATAATTTCCATTGAAGTAAATAGAAAGTCTTCGGAATATCTAAAGAGCTAAGTGGATTTAGCATAAAATCTCATCTTGAGTAACAACCTACCCATAGTTTTCCTAACTTCTTCAGCTTCTTTTCTTATTTCTGCTACAGCTCTTTCATCATCTTGCTGTAAAAGAGACAATGTTAAATTATCCAATAGAAAAGGAACTGTTAGCAAAGCTCCAAAATTATACCTTTCACCACTTGCAAAGTTCAAAGGGAAAATAATTACCATCAAAAACCAAAATAAGAGATGCACAATGTCAATATATGGTGGAGATTGTAAGAACCTTTCATTGCAGGGTTAAAGGTGAAGAAACATACACAAATGCATACTACAGTGTGCTAATGCCACAAAGTCCATAACGTGCCAATTTAAACCCAAATATCTTTTGAATGAAGGAATGAAATAAGAGGTAAATAAGTACATCATGTGATTAAAATTTCACAAAACGATGTCATGCTGTTCAGGAGTAATAGCGGATAAAAGAGTGGGTAATAAATGAACATGATTCCCCCTTCTTTCTTGGATTAAAGGAATTATGCCAGGAGGAACATGCTGTACATTGACTAACAATAGGGTTTGACCGTAGGAAACAAGCTATACATTGACTTACTTCTGGATTAGACCACAGGCCTAGGGAACATACTGAACACTGACTTATCTCAGGATTTAACCACAGAGAGCCTGCTGTGCATTTACTTGTGCCAGTGTTCGACCACAGAGAACATGCTGTACATAGACCTACCTCAGGGTTTGACCACAGAGAACATGTTGTATATTGATGTACCTCAGGGTTTGACCACAGAGAACATGTTGTATATTGATGTACCTCAGGATTTGACAACAGAGAGTCCTCTCTACATTGACTTACCTCAGTGTTCGACCACAGAGACCATGCTGTACATTGACCTACCTCAGGGTTTGACCACAGAGAACATGTTGTATATTGATGTACCTCAGGATTTGACCACAGATAATATGCTGTACATTGACTTACCTCAGGATTTGGCCACAGAGAACATGTTGTATATTGATGTACCTCAGGGTTTGACCACAGAGAACGTGCTGTACATTAGACTCACCTCAGGATTTGGCCACAGAGACCATGTTGTAAATTGATGTACCTCAGGATTTGACAACAGAGAGTCCTCTGTACATTGACTTACCTCAGGGTTTGGCCACATAGAACATGTTGTAAATTGATGTACCTCAGGGTTTGACCACAGAGAACATGTTGTATATTGGATGTACCTCAGGGTTTGGCCACAGAGAACATGTTGTATATTGATGTACCTCAGGGTTTGACCACAGAGAACATGTTGTATATTGATGTACCTCAGGGTTTGGCCACAGAGAACATGTTGTAAATTGATGTACCTCAGGGTTTGACCACAAAGAACATGTCGTATATTGATGTACCTCAGGGTGTGGCCTCAGAGAACATGTTGTACATTGACTTACCTCAGGGTTTGACCAGAGAACATACTGTGCATTGACCTACCTCAGGGTTTGACCACAGAGAACATACTGTGCATTGACCTACCTCAGGGTTTGACCACAGAGAACATGCTGTACATTGACCTACCTCAGGGTTTGACCACAGAGAACATGCTGTACATTGACCTACCTCAGGGTTTGACCACAGAGAACATGCTGTACATTAGACTCACCTCAGGGTTTGACCACAGAGAACATGCTGTACATTAGACTCATCTCAGGGTTTGACCATAGACAACATGCTGTACATTGACTTACCTCAGGGTTTGACCACAGAGAACATGCTGTACATTGACTTACCTCGGGATTTGACCAGAGAGAACATGCTGTACATTGACTTACCTCAGGGTTTGACCAGAGAACATGCTGTACATTGACTTACCTCAGGATTTGACCACAGAGAACAGGCTGTACATTCAGTACAATGTTTGCCTTTGTTTGGATCTCTAAAGTGCCGACAGAAATGATCATAATCAATCTGAAAGAAAATATCCACGATATATAAATATAACAAAAGTCTATTAATACGGTGCACAGAATGTATATATCAAAATTTATAATTTGCAAAGACTAAAACAGCAGTGTCGTCAAGGACATTGTTAAATCTCACCACCTGAAGATTGCCAAAAAGACAAGAAAGTGCTAGTGACATTTGTAGTCTTTGAGAATCATAAATTTTGATATAAATATATCTCACAAAGTCCATTTTCCAAATAGCAATCGGAGGTCAGTAAACTATAATTGGATCAAACAAAGAAAGTTGTCTTTGATTTAGGAACGTTGCCTTTAATTGCTTACATCCACTTCATTAGAACTTTGTTGGATAGTTGTCTCATTGGCAATCATACCTCATCTCCTTATTTTTATATTACATGCTACTACACATTATGAAACCATATGCACAATTCCTAATGTTTGTTTCGACAACGTATTCTATCTAACTGTTCCTATGCTGTCATAACGTACATATAAAGATTTATTAAAACATGATGCCATAGTTAATTACAGGGTTGTAATCAATTATCTTTTACATCAGATTGTAAATCTTAAGGTGACATTAGGACAGGTGCTGAAGCCAGAATGTTTACTCAAATTTCAATGAAATTGATTCACAAGCAGAAATTACTTTATGAGTGGGGTCTCTTGAATTTTCTATTCAACTTTTAAAAGAGATGTTGCTTAAGTAGTTGGAAATTTAATGTCTTATAATTGATAAAATCAGAACATTTACATAAAGATGTGAATATTTTTAACGATTGCCCACCCAACCTATCCCCTGAAGAAACAATGTTTCCTTTCTTGTAAACCTGGTAATAAACCCCTTTAGAATCTAGGTAATTTTTCCTCTCTTAGACCTCTAGATCTGATATTTTTAAACAATTTTCCAAGGCAAAAACATCCACAATATTGCTCCACCAGAATAAAACTCCTGTAACTTCTTAAAAGAGGGACGAAAGATACCAGAGGGACACTCAAACTCATAGATCGAAAACAAACTGACAACACCATGGCCAAAAATAACTAGAGGCTCTCAAGAGCCTGTGTCGCTCACCTGTATTTACTGATGCTTTGGAAATCATGTAAAATAAGGTTAAAATCATAATTAATAGTATTAGATATGATATCTAAGATAATAACAAAAAACTGCAAAATTTTTGTAAAATTACTAACTCAGGGGCAGCAACCCAACAACGGGTTGTCGGATTTGTCTGAAAATTTCTGGGCAGATAAATCTAAATCTGATGAACATATTTGCCAACTCAGATTTGCTCTAAATGTTTTAGTTTCAGAGATATAAACCAAAAACTGCATTTTACCCCTATGTTCTATTTTTAACCAAGTTGGCCATGATGGTTGGAAGGCGGGTTCATCGGCCAAATTTTTTAAATAAGATACCCTAATAATGATTATGGCCAAGTATGGTTAAATTTGTCTCAGTAGTTTCAGAGACGAAGATTTTTGTAAAAGATTACAAAAATTTACAAAAAATTGACTATTAAGGGCAATAACTCCTAAAGGGGTCGACTGACAATTTTGGTCATGACAACTTATTTGTAGATCTTACTTTGCTGAACATTATTGCTGTTTACAGTTTATCTCTATCTATAATAATATTCAAGATAATAACCAAAAACTGCAAAATTTCCTTAAAATTACCAATTCAGGGGCAGCAACCCAACAACAGGTTGTCAGATTTGTCTGAAAATTTCAGGGCAGATAGATCTTGACCTGATAATCAGTTTTACACTGTCAGATTTACTCTAAATGCTTTGGTTTCAGAGATATAAGCCAAAATCTACATTTTACCCCTATGTTCTATTTTTAGCCATGGTGGCCATCTTGGTTGGTTGGCGGGGTCATCGGACACATTTTTTAAACTAGATACCCTATTGATGATTGTGGCCAAGTTTGGTTAAATTTGGCCCAGTGGTTTCATAGAAGATTTTTGTAAAAAGCTAACGACGATGGACGACGACGGACGCCAAGTGATGAGAAAAGCTCACTTGGCCCTTCGGGCCAGGTGAGCTAAAAAGACAAACAGACAAATAATAGTACAGATGACACAACATAGAAAACTAAAGACTAAGCAACACGAACCCCACCAAAAACTGGGGGTGATCTCAGGTGCTCCGGAAGGGTAAGCAGATCCTGCTCCACATGTGGCACCTGTCGTGTTGCTTATGTTATTACAAATCCGGTTCTTAATATAGGACTTAACAATATAATATAACACATTTTTTGTGGTACTGTAAACTTACGTTAGGTTTCCTACAAATATAACACATTTTGTGTGGTACTGTAAACTTACGTTAGGTTTCCTACAAATATAGCACATTTTGTGTGGTACTGTAAACTTACGTTCGGTTTCCTACAAATATAACACATTTTGTGTGGTACTGTAAACTTACGTTAGGTTTCCTACAAATATAGAACATTTTGTGTGGTACTGTAAACTTACGTTAGGTTTCCTACAAATATAGAACATTTTGTGTGGTACTGTAAACTTACGTTAGGTTTCCTACAAATATAACACATTTTTGATCCACATCGACAGGTCATTTTATTGCAGCCATCTGATTTAGTGAACTTTGCTTTACATTTATGACATGTTCTTATATTGGCTTCAGTCATCTTCTCTTCACTACAAAACAGAGAAGAATTTTTTTTTATAAAATAAGAAAAGCCTTATCTAAATGCTTTTTAAACATTTATGAAATCTTTGGTGTAAAAAAGTTTACAGACTAATCTAAATATTTAAAAAAAATAATAATAGGCTATATTGCATGTATTGAATACAAACAAAACAGAGTGAATGTGAAAATAAATTTCACAAAAAATGTTATTAAATAAATTGTAATGCTGTGAAAAATAAGGTTAAAATCATAATAAATAGTATTATATACCCCAATAATGATTGAGACCAAGTTTGGTTTAATTTGGCCCAGTAGTTAAATTAAAAGCAGGTCATCCCATTGTAGTCCTAAAATAGTTACTGAAGACCCCTTATCATTATTTAAATTAGTTTTCTAGTTGTGACCATTTGGAATTGTTTTTTTTACAATTTCTTATAGACTTCTATAGTGAACCCTTATGTTCTATTTTTAGCCATGGCGGTCATCTTGGTTGATGAGCGGGGTCATCGGACACATTTTTTAAACTAATTACCCTAAGGATGATTTAGGCCTAGTTTGGTTTAATTTGGCCCAGTAGTTTCAGAGGAGAAGATTTTTGTAAAGATTACAAAAATTTACGAAAAATTGTGAAAAATTGACTTTAAAGGGCAATAACTCCTAATGGGGTCAATTAACAATTTTGGTCATGTTGACTTATTTGTAGATCTTACTTTGCTGAACAATTTTGCTGAATACAGTTTATCTCTATCTTTTATAATATTCAAGATAATAACCAAAAACTGCAAAATTTCCTTTAAAATACCATTTTAGGGGCAGCAACCCAACAACGGCAGATAGATCTTGACCTGAAAAACATTTTCACCCCGTCAGATTTGCTGTAAATGCTTTAGTTTCAGAGATATAAGCCAAAAAATGCATTTTACCCCCATGTTCTATTTTTAGCCATGACGACCATCTTGATTGATGGGCAGTGTCATCAGATACATTTTTTAAACTAGATACTAAAAGAATGATTTAAGCCAAGTTTGGTTTTATTTGGCCAACGAGTTTCAAGGAGAAGATTTTTGTAAAAATTAACGAACGACGACGACAGACGCCAAGTGATGAGAAAAGCTCACTTGGCCCTTTTGGGCCATGTGACCTAAAAATGTGTTACAATAAAATCTTTTAAATGAGTTGTGCAAACAGAACACCATGTTGTATATGCAAAATTTCATAAAAATTGAGAAAGGTCAACAACTGGTGCATTTGTGAATAAAATGCTTTGCTGAGCGAACCCTGAACAGTTGGGGCAAGTTTGGACACAATATTCATGCTTGATACTGTCTTAATTTGGATTGTGATCAAATTTTTGACATAATATAGGTTTCTGGCACAAAATAAATGTGGTCAAAGATCTTAAAAATTTGAAATGGGACATTTAATTTACCTAGTATGATCTGATATCCAAAATCTAACAACATTGTTAGATTCAGAATATATAAAAAAAAACACAAAAATTTTTAGTTGAAATCAAACAAAGTTTAATTTTGGACCCTTCAAACCTAAATATGGACTAATTTGAAAACAGGGCCCAAAATAAAAAATCTAAATGCACAATAAGATTCAGCATATCATAGAGCCGCAATAATTAAGTTTTTGACTCAATGTAGACCAATTTAAAAATGGGGCCCAATATCCAAAATAGTAATACAAGGTTAGAACCCCCAAAAATTAAAGACTTTAAATTAATCCCATTGAATTTAAAATTGGTTAAAAGATTTGTATTTATTTTCAATTGAAAATTTCTTGCTATTGCACAATACTGTGCTGTTGCACAATACTTATTTAATCTGTTATATATAATAAGTTAAACACCCTGTTTGGTGTGTATCTCCTGTCATATCAGTATCTGTTGTTTTTATATATAAATCAGAAATAATCAATGTAAAAATGGAAAATTTTTGGGAAAAAGAAACAAAAAATTATGAAAAAAAAAATCCCCCCAAAACATTTTAACACAAGTTATTGTCTGGAAACTAGAATCAAAGCGTTTTAGCGTTAGAAAAAGCATTTGCCGTATATCTTAAGAAAATATCAAAATCTTGATCGTTTCATTTAAACTGTTTCCATACAAAATACCGGGCATCGTAAACCTGTCCGATAATGATACGTCTTAATAACACAAATTACAATGTGGAAATACACACAACTTGTTGCAGATCCACAAACACAGTAAGGTTTACCAATACGACACTCCAATTAAATTAACAAAAGTATTTTGATATTTAAACAAGCAAGAGAGCCCCTATTTATTCTTTTTAAACAGCAAAATTTAATTTGTAAAAAATAAAATTAACCGTGTTGGGTACGCTTTAAACTGGTAATAAGACGGATTGAGATTAGCCGATAGAGGGTGCTGAATTTCACTGTATCACTGCGTTCAAAAATGAAGCCTCTTACGTAACCTATCGGGGATCAAAATTTCTAAGTAAAAGGGTTAGCTATTAAACTACCATTTAAATATTGCATTTGAGGAATGCTTAATCAAATGAACTTAATTTTCATTACAAAAATCAAGCAAACACATACTTTTAAGTTTTACTCGATCCTGAAATAACTGTAGAATGAAAAACGTGTGCACTCTATTTTGATGATGAACAAAATGGCCATACACAATGACAGTAAAAGCAAATGCTTTTAAAAATGCTTGTTTTTGGCCCCTTTTTGCCCCTAATTTCTTAACGTTTAAGGGAAATTACCCCCAAACTCAATCCCAGCCTTCCCTTTGTGGTATGGAACCTTATAGTAAAATTTCAGAGAGATTCATACACTTAAACACAAGTAATTGTCTGGAAACTACATAAATGCTTGTTTTTGGCCCCTTTTTGTTCCTAATTCCTGAACGTTTGGGGCAATTACCCCAAAACTCAATCCCAGCCTTCCCTTTGTGATATGGAACCTTGTGGTACAATTTCAGTGAGATCCATACACTTAAACACAAGTTATTGTCTGGAAACTACAAAAATGCTTGGTTTTGGCCCCTAATTCATGAACTGTTGGTTTAACCCCCAAAATCAATCCCTACCTTTCTTTTGTGGTATTAAACCTTCTGGTAAAATTTCATAGAGATCCATCCACTTAAACTAAAGTTATTGTCTAGAAACCAAATGTGTCTTCGGACGCCGACATGATAGCATTATACGAACGCAAATTTTTTGCGGTCGTATAAAAATAACTTAAAACTTACAACTGCAGTCTGAGCTTAACTTCATCTTTCTTCTCAATTTCCTCACATCTTTTACCAAAATGTTCTGTCCAATCCTCTTTACAATAACGACATGTTTCCTATAACAGATATAATCAAAATTAATATCTAGTTGTAATAAATATTATAACAGATATAATCAAAATTAATATCTAGTTGAAATAAATATTATAACAGATATAATCAAAGTTAATAACTAGTTGAAATAATTATTATAACAGATATAATCAAAATTAATATCTAGTTGAAATAATTATTATAACAGATATAATCAAAATTAATATCTAGTTGAAATAAATATTATAACAGATATAATCAAAATTAATATCTAGTTGAAACAAATATTATAACAGATATAATCAAAATTAATATCTAGTTGAAATAAATATTATAACAGATATAATCAAAATTAATATCTAGTTGAAATAAATATTATAACAGATATAATCAAAATTAATGTCTAGTTGAAATAAATATAAATGTGGAGAAACTCCAACAAATCTGCAATATAAAACCCTTGCACAGATAAATCCCCAAAAAATATTCAGAAGAATGAATGTTATATATATTAAAATTTGTAATTCACAAAGACTACATTTTACAACAAATTATTACATTTCGTTTAAATTATTTGTGAATCCGTGATCACATACAACATACACATGATACAACCATACGAATGCAATATGTGAGCAAAAATTTAGAAACGTGCAGTAGTGGAAAAGGAGTTGGCCCGGTAACGTTTTATTTTTTTTTTTTTTTAACAATTAAATCATCTTTATTGCACTAAATGCTGTTTAACAATTTACTTAGCTTACAGCATTGGGCTAAGTTTCCCTGTGTATTTAAAATTATTATATATCCAGGGAGAATATATAATAAAATATATATAAATGTTAGTATTATACAATTAAACATAATACATAATATAAATAAACGTCAATATAAACTGATTCATTGATTTTTTGTCTGCTTACAAATCGGAAAAAATAACGGATCTTCACCGTTACATTTTGTGATTATTATGTGTATTTACTTTCTCACAGGATACCTGTGTAATTGGAATTTACTTATTCTTTTATAATTTGAAGGATTTATTTTTCAAACTTACATGCTTGACCATGTTAATGGAAATACATATATAGGTAGGTGTATATAGTTATGTTAAATACAAATCAATAGGTTATTTGCGATGCATTTTTTTTTTTTGGCTCCTCGTGGTATATTATAGACTGGAAGTAGCATGTGTTGATTTGTCAAACATACTCATTACCTACAGATATCACTTACAAGTTACAATATGTCGATGTCTTTAATAACATTTTTCCGGTTTCGATATTTCTTATCGCATTTAATTTTATAATGTCGTATATTTCCGTTTTGAAAATTTTGAAGATATCTATCTTTGTTTCTTTTTTGTTTGAAATAAAATGTGCTTTATATATAGAGAAAAATATAACTGTTATAAGGGTGTTTATATCAAAATATTTTATATCTGATATTTTATAGCCAGTTATTAAATTTTCTAGCCTTAGAATGTGTCTGTTTATTTGAAGATAAAGTAGTAGTTTATATATTTCATGCCAGTATTTAGTATTATAAGGGCATGTTATGAAAAAATGTTTATAGTTTTCAATTTCTTTGCAGAAATTGCATGAACTGTTTTCTAATACTTTCCACTGAACTAATAATTCATTGCATGGAAGGATGAAATGGAGTAATTTCCATTTAAACATTTTAAATTTGTTGTTATCTAGGTATTTAAATATAAAATTAAGAGTGCTTTTTAATTTTATGTTAAAATTTTCTTTGAAAATTCTTTCCCACTTAAGATAACCTACAGGTTTTTCTTGTTTATGAGGGGCAAATAATATTGAATATATTTCTTTATTACTCATTTCTGGATAGATATTATGATTGAGTAGTATTTGCAGATTTTTGGTATTCTTTATATGTACTTTTGTTTTAAATGAGCTTTCTTGCTTTAAAATATTCTGCCAATGTTTTGGAATAGCTTTCTTTATTAAGGATAATTCTCTAATCCAATCTCGTTTATCTTTTAGTTTAAGTAATATTTTATTTTCTGATATATAACCTCTTTCATCTAGTATGTCATTTACATACAGAATATTATGTTCAATCCATTTAGTAAACAATAAGTGTTTTCCTTTTGTTTGTATATTATAATTGCCCCATAAGATCTGCTTTCTTATATCTAGAAAAGTTTGTGGGATCTTTGTCTGTCCACCCTTTACATTAATCCAAGTTTTAATCAATTGCTGATAGAACTCAGGGATGGATTTAAATGATTTTTTGTCTAACATATTAACATTTTTAACGTTTTATGGCATATTTGATAGATTTTTCACATTTAAGCTTGAAATTGAGCGTCTTTAATGACCAAATCAGTTCAAATCTTTCACAGAAACTAATTGAATCGACTGAAGTAGACACTTAATTGTTAGAAAAATGTCAAAAATCTTTCATCAGATGTACCTGACATTTTAGGCCAAAATTGACCCTTACCGGACCTTCTCCTTTACCGCATTTCCGTTCTATAAAATGAACGAATCTAATAAATATAAAAGACTAGCAAGGGAAGAACATTTTATAAAGATCTTTAAGCAAAAAAGAAATGGATCTACGCAAACACGTTAGATTTACCTCCCCTTACTATTATTATAACGTAATAATGAACATTACCAACGGTAGTGTCGTCACGGACATTGTAAAATCATGGCAGCCTGAAGATTGCCAGAGGGCATGAAAGTGCTAGTGACATTATTTCAATGAACTGTTATTATATGATTTTAAATGTAATCTTTGCGAATTACAAATTTTAATATATATACATTCTGTACACAGTATTTAATTAATTTTGCTTTATATATAGTACAGAGTACGAAAGTTCCACAAATTTCTGTCAAGCTACTTTAAAATAAGCATTTCTACAGAGAAAGGTGAGAAAAACTAAAAGACAGTCAGACTACCCAATCCCTAAAATATCTACTGCTTTTGAAAGGGAAACACCTAGATATACCATTGCAAAGTTCATGATTTGTTAAGAGAAACCTCAAAAATTTGGACCAAAAACCAATACAGGCACTGCAAAATGGTATTTAAGGATAAAGATACAGAAAAAGTGTCATCAAATTATGACAGAATTTGTTATATCAGTTCAGGAGCAGTTGCAAAATATATAACAGATGAACAAACTAGAGGCTCTCCCTGTGTCGCTCACCTGTATTTACTGATGCTTTGGAAATCATGTAAAATAAGGTTAAAATCATAATTAATAGTATTAGATATTAGATATTATAATGATATCTAAGATAACAAAAAACTGCAAAATTTTTGTAAAATTACTAACTCAGGGGCAGCAACCCAACAACGGGTTGTCGGATTCGTCTGAAAATTTCAAGGCAGATAAATCTAAATTTGATGAACTTTTTTGCCACCTGTAAGTTGCTCTAAATGCTTTAGTTTCAGAGATATAAACCAAAAACTGCATTTTACCCCTATGTTCTATTTTTAACCAAGTCGGCCATGATGGTTGGAAGGCGGGGTCATCGGACAAATTTTTTAAAGTAGATACCCTAATAATGATTATGGCCAAGTATGGTTATATTTGTCTCAGTAGTTTCAGAGAAGAAGATTTTTGTAAAAGATTACAAAAATTTACAAAAAATTGTTAAAAATTGACTATTAAGGGCAATAACTCCTAAAGGGGTCGACTGACAATTTTGGTCATGACAACTTATTTGTAGATCTTACTTTGCTGAACATTATTGCTGTTTACAGTTTATCTCTATCTATAATAATATTCAAGATAATAACCAAAAACTGCAAAATTTCCTTAAAATTACCAATTCAGGGGCAGCAACCCAACAACAGGTTGTCAGATTTGTCTGAAAATTTCAGAGCAGATAGATCTTGACCTGATAATCAGTTTTATCCTTTGTCAGATTTACTCTAAATGCTTTGGTGTCAGAGATATAAGCCAAAATCTACATTTTACCCCTATGTTCTATTTTTTTAGCCATGGCGGCCATCTTGGTTGGTTGGTGGGGTCATCGGACACATTTTTTAAACTAGATACCCTAACAATGATTGTGGCCAAGTTTGGTTAAATTTGGCCCAGTGGTTTCAGAGGAGAAGATTTTTGTAAAAAGCTAACGACGATGGACGACGACGACGGACGACGGACGCCAAGTGATGAGAAAAGCTCAATTGGCCCTTCGGGCCAGGTGAGCTAAAAAAATGAAAGAACGGATAGATGAAGGACTCGCCATTCATTTGCATTAGAACATTTGGGTATAATGATATCAACATTATGTTAAAAAAGAGAATTAGAGAGACTTACATGTAATCAGGGTCATACAAAATGAGTCTTTATATGTCTCCTAGATTTCCTCCTGTATGTCAAAGTTACAAAGGACAACTCCAAATACGGTATTTTTTATATTTTACTTTTTTCTATTCTTATATCAACAGAATCAGAAATGAAAATGGAAATATTTGGTAAAATAAAAGAAGAATATGCCCATGGGACACATATCCATCCGCTTGTATAACTGCAAGAGTCATAACTCAGGAATGGTGAAAGTGACGTAACCCAAATTTTTCAAACTTGATCTGTGTTTTGTGGGTATAAGCATTGAGTGTAAGTTTGATATCATTTGGTTGAGGCAAAGTAAAGTTAGAGTGTGGAAACTGCAAATTCAGCAATTTTGCTATTTATATAGGGACATAACTCGAGAACAGTAAAACTAAATCTGTGTTCATGGTAATTTGCATAGTGCACACGTTTCACAACATTTTGTTCAGGCAAATTGAAGCGAGAGTGAAACAGCAAATTCAGCAATGTTTCCATTTGTAAAGGGAAACAACTCAAGAAAGGTAAAAGTGACGCCACCCTAATTTGAATTTGATCTGATCATAACATTTGGTAGAGGCAAACTAAAGTTAGAGAATGAAAACCAAGTTTGGGATGTACATACCGACAAGGGTAAACCTATATGCCCCCTTTGATTAGCGACAGGGGCATAAATAGTCTAAAAGCTTATGATTAAAATTTTCTGAATATCTCCAACCTCTATCTAACTGTCCTTCAACCAGATCTTGTTAATACTAAAATGTAGTCCAATTTTTGACTATTAATGAAATTGTGCACATACTTTGAACTATGACAGATCATAACATAAACTGAACTTTAAATTTTACTAGCCACTGGACATTAAGCAACCAACAATCAATCAATTAAATTAAACTTAACAAAACATGACTTAGATTTCCTACACGTAAAATGACTTGGCATAAAAAATGGCTGACAAAATGAACTTAAATCATCAATTTTAGAGATGATAAGTGACATCAACATGGAGTTGTGATGATATAAACAGACACCAAACAAGAGAATTGAAATTATAAACTTAAAGAAAAATATTCATTTATCAACTTTATTTTAGTTTTCCAACATATGGCCTTAAGATAGGCAAAGAGGAAGGATTGTGTACAAGTAAAACTGGTATAACACCTGTACAAGTAAAACTGGTATAACACCTGTACAAGTAAAACTGGTATAACACCTGTACAAGTAAAACTGGTATAACACCACCACAAGTAAAACTGGTATAACACCTGTACAAGTAAAACTGGTATAACACCTGTACAAGTAAAACTGGTATAACACCACCACAAGTTGTACCTGTATGTTTTGAGCTCCAGAGGAGTCACGGGATACTAATTATGACAGAATTTTACTTTGAACGTGCACACATAGAGATGAAGATTTTTCTACAGGTTTCACATAAACATGATAAACTTAACATTATCAATGATCCATAAAATGAGGTCAAGGTCAGATGAATCCTAACCAACCTTAACTCAATTTATATCAGCAATATAGTTTACCTATCAAATAAAGTAATCAGAGTTAATAAAATCAATAAAGTTTAATATATCATACCAATACCCCCCCTAAAAATTACCTAAAAAATCTGCAATAATATTTTCTATTCCACAAGTTTTCATCAATTTAGTAAACCAAATTTTTCAAAGCAATTCTGCAATGAATTTTAGTATTTAATCCTAGCTATAATAATTTTTAGTTAAATGTTACAGCCAACTTGAACAATCCAAACAAGTTCAAAATATACACTAAAAATGGTAAAGAAACAGCTCTATCTAGCAACATCAAATGTTTTGTTCTTAAAGGACTTTAGTGTCAATATTAGATCTGTATTCTCTCAGTCTCTTGTTTATTATAACTTGTCTTGACTCCCAGCTTGCATATCGGATAGATATCTGTGTATTGCAGAAGACTGTACATTGACCTCTAGATATATTTGTTGCTGGGATGCTGTCTCACTGAAATCATACCCTACATCGTCTTTCTTTTAGAATTAACATAGGTTAGGCAATAAGTCTAAATGGTTTTAAAAAAGAAAGAAAAAAGATTTAGCATTTAGACATATGTAACAGAATTTCTATATCTAAAATTTAAAAGCAAAACAATTAAATCTTAAAAACTATGATTAAACAAAAATTTCTCGACCAAAGTTTTTTAAATTTAACTTTAGAGGTAAGATAATTGTATCATAATATTATTTTCACAATTGTGTCATTTAAATGTTACTAATTAACAGAAATAGGTATTATCTATTTATAGATGACCTTTAAATATTTACTGATTACATGGATCATGTATAAACATGTCCTAATTTACTTCCTTGTAACCGACATTTTAGAAAAAGTAGAGATAGAAACCTACATACAGATGATGTGACAAATTCCTAAATTAAGAGGTATATATCATTGTAAAAAACACTTTATCATTCTATTTTGACAAAGTTAAAGGCCATGTAGTAACAAAGCTTGTATTTGGTGTCATGTATTTTTTTCACTTTTTGTTTATTCTTTAAATCAAATAAGACGATATGTAGGGTAAACCTCAATAGGAGACAGCAAACCAGAAACACAAATTTTCAATTGACATCTAGAGGGCCACAACAGACATGTGTTTTCACTTCTATGTTATCATAAAAGACATAAATATATAAAGTTTATAGGCTTAATTATAAATCTTGTTAAAGATTGAAAATAAATTCATGGGCAAAATAAACAAACATTAGACCAAAAAGTTGAACTTTGAGCAATAGCTTACATATGATACCTCTGCTACAAATATTCGTTCAGGGAGTTGAAGAGCCATGGATGTGGAGACATCACACAGTATAGCCTGCCTACATAAAGCTTGAGTTAAAATTTCAGAAAGCTTTGATTTATAGTTCTTTATAACAATGTGACAAAAATTTCAGAAAACACCATTTTGTGTATGAATATAAGTATTATGTAACAGGAAGTGGATGAGCAATTAAGAAAAGTAGAGAAGAGCATGAACATCCCTACCGTATATATGCCTAAGGGGTCAGAAAGGGGCTGATATCCACCCGTTATTAAATATAGAGCTATTTATATAATTTGTATACAAGGTTTTTATCCAATTTATGAAGTGTTTAGGTATAAAACCACTAATTCATAGCCCCATTGCTTTCTATGTTAAATTCTGCAATTTCAAGCATAAATGGCTACTTTGTCTTAAGTTCAAATAAAGTTGCAGTTATTTCATGTCAGAACTATACCTTATCCTGACTTGTGCTGAAAAATTCAACATACCTTTAATTGCATATTAGAGCGTACTGGTTCCCGGAAGTTTGATAGTACAAAAACAGGTACTTCTGATCTGAACAACAGGGCAAATGTGCCCTCCTATTAAAATTGTATAGACTTCTTTATTATTCAAAGGAAATTTTTAACAAGGGTTCTACAGTGATCCCAAGTCCCCAAGCTTTCATTTGATACCAAAACTACCCAAATATTCCACCTATTGACAAAGATACAGCTATGCGTAGGAGCTATTTTGTTTAAAATATGTACTACTTTCTTGTATGTTCTTTCCGACCTGGCCTGAATTAGTGGTTCTATACCTTTATAACAAGAGTGCACACACTGAAATGTCTCGCCTTCTTTACTAACCATTGATTTTATATTGATACTGATAGTCCTAAATATAAAGCTTTACTACAAGTAACACATATACTTAACATGATCCAAGAAAATGAGGTCAAGGTCAGATAAACGAAACGAGAAATACATGTACAACTTACAATCATTCAATAAACCAAACATAGTTGACCTAATTTGCTTATAGTTTCTAAGAAACAGTCTTAACCAAGAAAACTTAATATTGACCAATGAACCATGCCAGACAGACATGTACACCTTACAATCAATGTATGCGTTAAATATAGTTGACCTATTGCTTATAGTATCTAAGAAATAAACTTAACCATGAAAACTTAACATTGACCAATGAAACATGAAAATGAGGTCAAGGTCAGATGATACCTGCCAGACAGACATATACACCTTACAATCCTTCCATACAACAAATATAGTTGATCTATTGCTTATAGTTGAAGAAAAACAGACCAAAACACAATAAAATGCTCCGTTGGGGCGCAGCTTGATACGACCGCAGAGGTCGAACCCTGAACAGTTGGGGCAAGTATGGACACAACATTCAAGCTTGATTCAGCACTGAATTTGGATTGTAATTAAATATTTGACACAGCATAGGTTTCTCACACAGAATGAAAGTGGGCTAAGAACTTAAAAATTTTTAATTTACCTATTCAAACCACATCATTATTATTTGCTTTTATATATAAATCAGAAATAACCAATTTAAAATGGAAAATTTTAAAGAAAAAAAATTAAAAAAAGAATCCCCCCCCCCCAATTTTTTGAACCCCCTTATGATTCATCACCCCCAAACTCAATCCCAGCTTTCCCTTTGTGGTATGATACCTTGCAGTACAATTTCAGAGAGATCCATACACTTGAACACAAGTTATTGTCTGGAAACTAGAAAAATGCTTGTTTTTTGGCCCCAAATTCCAAAACGTTTAGGGCAATTACCCCCAAACTCAAACCCAACTTTCCCTTTGTGATATGGAACCTTGCAGTACAATTTCATAAAGATCCATACACTTACACACAAGTTATTGTCCTGAAACTAGAAAAATGCTTGTTTTTTTGCCCTTTTATGGCCCCTAATTACTAAAATTTTGAGGGAATTACCCCCAAAATCAATCCCAGCGTACCCTTAGTGGTATGGTACCTTGCAGTACAATTTCAGAGAGATCCATACATTTGAACACATGTTATTGTCTGGAAACTAGAAAAATGCTTATTTTTGTCCCCTTATTCCTAAACTTTTTGGGCAATTACCCACCAAACTCAATTCAAGCTTTCCATTTGTGATATGGAACCTTGTAGTACAATTTCATAAAGATCCATAAACTTACACACAAGTTATTGTCATGAAACAAGAAAAATGCTTGTTTTTTGCCCCTTTTTGGCCCCTAATTCCTACAATTTGGAGGCAATTACCCCCAAAATCAATCCCAGCATTCCTTTTGTGATATGAAACCTTGTGATACAATGTCAGAGAGATCCATACACTTACACACAAGTTATTGTCATGAAACTAGAAAAATGCTTGTTTTTTGCCCCTTTTTGGCCCCTAATTCCTAAAATTTGGAGGCAATTACCCCCAAAATCAATCCCAGCATTCCCTTTGTGATATGGAACCTTGTGGTACAATGTCAGAGAGATCCATACACTTACACACAAGTTATGTCTGGAAGTTACAAAAATGCTTATTTTTGGCTCCTTTTTGGCCCCTAATTCCTTAACTGTGGGTACCATAACCCCCAAAATCAATCCCCACCTTCCTTTTGTGGTATTGAACCTTATGGTAAAATTTCATTGAGATCCATTCACTTAAACTAAAGTTAGAGTGCATGCGAAAACTAATGTGTCTTCGGAGGACGACGCCAACGCCAACGTCATACAATAGGTCCGGGTACACAGTTATAGTCCTTTGATTTTCGTTGTCCACGAATATAGTCCCTAGTGTGGACAGTGTGTTACTTGTCGATTTTTTTTATACCCCTTCCAAATTTATTTCTCCATGTTTTATAACTCAAATAGTAAGTAGGGGGGTGAAATGACACTGTAAACAAATTTGGGTCATGAATTTTAAAGTAAAGTAGTGATTTGGTCCAGCTGAAAAATGTTAAAAATTAGCACTTCGGGAGCTGTCAAAAAATTTAAAGACCCCTTAACATGAAATTGTCCATATTTTGAGTTAGAGCCGATGAAGTTTTCTATAATTTTGATATAATTTGTCCCAAAAGTAGTACAACACACTGTAAAAATATTATTGAGAAAGCGCAGGTGGGATTTTTTTAATTTTCATTTATTGTCTAAAAGAAATGCACTACGAAATAACTGTGTACTCGGACCTAAGAGGTGAAATCAGGAAATATAGAATCTGTACTTTGGCAACTTCCCTGAATGATTTGATGGTGTCAATTTATCAAATAGCTTAAAACTAGCATTTTATGGTCAAAATAAGTATTTCATAGCTTTTTCAATTTTGATGCATAAGTGGCATTCTGACTTTCTATCTGACAGGTTTTTATGTGTCAATATTTGTGTTTCTATGCTTCAATCTAGTTGTATTACTCATTTGTGAACTCTGAATCTACAGAAAAGAAGATTATCTCGGACAATATGTGTTGTATATATGATCCTCGTCTAACACCCTGTTTGGATCAAGTTAAATGTGAGGAGCTTGGAACATAAAAGTTGAAGTCCATTATAAAGACCTCACTAAATTTGTATAAAAAGCACTTAACAATGTCTTTTGTACCTGTTTTATGTCTCATAATATCTTTCTTTTCTTCTGTAGGATAGCAAGTGGTTCAAATATAAGCCTGTTGAGACTAAAATTGCATGCATGTTTTTCACTAAAAAGTGAAAAATCTTTGTATCAGACCATACTGTCTGCAAAAAAAGTTGAATGCAAGAGTCTTTTTGTGCTCAGATTTATTGTATCATGTCACCTGAGTATAGAAGTGATAGAAAAGACACAAAATTTTATTTCCTATAGCTTCAATATGCATTTTTAAATGTAAATATGTGATACGGCCTAAATTGACCCTAAATTATTTTCAGTCTTACTTGGCCTAAGACCCTTTTAAACTAATGTGATATGTTATTTGTAAGTTTTCCTTCCATTTAAAGTACATTAAATACATATGTAAGGATTATTTATAACCAAAAAGCTTTACAAATTTAAAATTGCTGGAAAATATTACATCTTCATGTAAGGCCCCCCTTCATTGGAAAACCTCCATTTTTAGCCACAGGCTCATATAAATTTGACTTTTTAATATTTATGATAAGTCTGATAAATCAAATGAGTACCCTATTGCTTTTAATACATAATATATTATATATTAAGGCATTTCAAAAGTATTTTTTAGCAATATTTTAATTTTTTAAGCCCCAAATGTTGATAGTTGAAAATTTTCAATTTTAACATCTAAATTTTACCCGCAAAGTTGAATATAGAATTAGTCATATTGTCTATAATATATATCCTATTGCCATGAAACTTTGTAAGCAGTCTTATAATTTAATAAACTTTGGTCATACCAAGTTTCAATAAGATTGGTCAACTTTTTCTACCCTATTAGGTCCGGGTACACAGTTAGCGTCCTTTGATTTTCGTTGTCCACGAATATAGTCCCTAGTGTGGACAGTGTGTTACTTGTCGATTTTTTTTATACCCCTTCCAAATTTATTTCTCCATGTTTTATGACTCAAATAGTAAGTAGGGGGGTGAAATGACACTGTAAAAAAATTTGGGTCATGAATTTTAAAGTAAAGTAGTGATTTGGTCCAGCTGAAAAATGTTAAAAATTAGCACTTCGGAAGCTGTCAAAAAATTTGAAGACCCCCTTAACATGAAATTATCCATATTTTGAGTTAGAGCCGATGAAGTTTTCTATAATTTTGATATAATTTGTCCCAAAAGTAGTACAACACACTGTAAAAATATTATTGAGAAAGCGCAGGTGGGATTTTTTTAATTTTCATTTATTGTCTAAAAGAAATGCACTACGAAATAACTGTGTACTCGGACCAATATACGACCACAAACATTTTTTTGCGGTCGTATAAAAACTTAACACTGAGAAATGAACCGTGAAAATGAAGTCAAATTCAAATAAAACCTGCGAGACTGACATGTACATCATAAAATATTTTCATACACCAAATATAGTTGACCTATTGCATATAGTATTAGAAAAAAAGACAAAAACTCAAAAACTTAACTTTGACCACTGAACCATGAAAATGAGGTCAAGGTCAGATGACACCTACCCGTTGGACATGTACACCTCACAATCATTCCACATACCAAATATAGTAGACCTACTGCTTATAGTATCTGATATATGGACTTGACCACGAAAACTTAACCTTGTTCACTGTTCCATGAAATGAGGTCGAGGTCAAATAAAAATTGTCTGACGGGCATGAGGACCTTGTAAGGTACGCACATACTAAATATAGTTATCCTATTACTCATAATAAGAAAGAAATTAACATTACAAAAAAATGTTAGACTTTTTTTTTCAAGTAGTCACTGAACCATGAAAATGAAGTCAAAGACAATGGACATATGACAGACGGAAACTTCGTAACATAAGGCATCTATATACAAAGTATGAAGCATCCAGGTCTTCTAGCTTCTAAAATATAAAGCTTTTAAGAAGTTAGCTAACGCTGCCGCCACTGCCGCCGGATCACCATCCCTATGTCGAGCTTTTAGTCGCAGGCTCAACAAAAACCAAAATATTCTAAAGTATGATACATAAAATTCCATTCTAATGTGTCGAAAGCTTTCGAAAAATCGATAATAAAATTGCCCCTTCTATATAAAGGGTGCCACATGTGGAGCAGGATCTGCTTACCCTTCCAGAGCATCTGAGATCACCCCCAGGTTTTGGTGGGCATGGTGGGGTTCGTGTTGCTTAGTCTTTAGTTTTCTATGTTGTGTTTTGTGTAATATTGTTTGTCTGTTAGTCTTTTTTTTTTTAGCCATCAGGCGTTGTCAGTTTATTTTCGACTTATGAGTTTGAATGTCTCTGGTATCTTTCGCCCCTCTTTTTTTAAACTTATCTGATGTATCCTGTTCGATCGGCATTAATGATTAGATTTAGATTTTTTTTAGTCCTCTACCAACGACTTTGAAGGGGACTTTAGGTTTGCACTCCGTCCATCTGTCTGTCTGTCTGTCCGTCTGTCTGTCCATCTGTCAGTCTGGCAAATCAGTTTTCCAGACTTTTTTTCTTCGTGCTTGAAGATATTGATTTGATATTTGGTTTATTGATTTATCATGACAAGTTACAGGTCAAGTTCAATTTTCAAGATTTTAGCTTTTCTCTTTGTTCAATTAAAGCCCTTTCCCTAGATTTAATTTTTTGATGAAATACTTATTAATAAGTAAATTTCTGTTCAAAGGGAAATAATTCATTTTTTAAACCTTTAAAAGACAAAATGGCATTTTGGATTTTTTTCCTTTTCTTTGGTAAATTGTTTGAAGAATTTAGTGGTAGGTTTGTTTGTCATTCTTGTTATTCTTAATGCTAAGGTGTATGAAAGTATTTTATAATCACTATTTCATAATGATATTGGTTGGTAATTTGCAATGGATCATTTTTCTTATGAATAAGATTCAGTAAATCTTTCGTTGGAAAATGGGAGTTGTTTATTTTCAAAGCTGGGGTTACAAAATTTAACTCTTACCCATCCATTCCTGGACTTTTGTTAGGTTTTAAATTATTTACAGCAATAATAAATTCTCTAAAGTGATATATCCATCACGAGATTTACTTTCATCTTCTGATAATCTATGATTAAGTTTTGTTTCAGTAAATAATTTTTCAACATTTATTATATAAGGTTTTTGTTTAGTGTCAAATAAAATAGCATAAAAATCTCTTTCAAGTTTTAATATTTCATCTTGATCTGTTCCTAGTTCACCGTTATTATTTTTCAATTTTAGTACTGTCTTTTATTGTTTTAGATTTTTCAAGACCTGGGTATTATGCATTGTTTTGTCCCCTTTTTCTACCCACCATTTAATCTTATTTGTGCTCCTTTAGCTTTGTATTCATATTGGCTCTTTAGATCTTTTTCTAATGTGGATATTTTTCTTTAAGAAAGTTATTTGTTTGATTTTTCATATTATGTTTTTAGTTGTGATTCTAGATCATGTGTTGCATTTTTTCTATTTTTTTCTTCAATTTTACTATACTTAATACTATATTCCTTTTTCTAATTTGAGAGAGTCCCACACAAGTCTTGAATCTATTTCATTTTTTTCTATCTTTTTACTATGTTTTTGTATTATTTCGCTTTTATTGCATTCATACTCTTACTCATCAAGAATACAGTTATCAATTTTCCAGTATCCTGGGCCTCTAGTTTCAGTTGAGACAGATTGTAATTGTATGCAAACTGCTTGATGGTCAGTGCTTTTAATAAGAATGGGTGAAATGTCACATGACTGAACGTTTAAAACAAAATCTTTTGTTTTAGAAAGAACATGTCAATTCGACTAGAATGGACTGGATTTTTTTTATCTCAATGTATATTGTATCTTTTGGGGGTTTAAGTGTCTACATACATCTATTAAGTCGTTTTATTTTATTAATTTGTTTAGGCTGTTGGTTGGTTTGCTTACTTTTATTTTTACAAATATTGGATTTTTTTCTATCTACATTTTTAAGGGCATTATTCAAGTCTCCATCTGAAATAATTGTACCTATGGTATTTTTGTTTATAAAATCATTTAGTTTTTTGAAAAAGATATTTCATTCAGATTCTATATTTGGAGCATAAATGTTTATAAAAGAATAGATTATATTCTCAAATTCTATATTTATCATGATTATTCAACCTTCTGAATCTTTATGCTCATCTATTAATTTATAGTAAAAAAATTTATAAATTAGTATAGCTACCCCTCCGTTTGAAGTTGTTCCATGTCTATATATGATAATAAGAATGATCTGATTCAATAGTTAGAACACTTTCTAAAGAAGTATTGAAGTGATTTTCTTGAATCAAAGATATTTCGTTACATAAGTATGCTCTAAATGCGGGTAACAATTCTTGGGAAATAACTATATAATTATCATGATTTTAGAAAAAAAGGCATTTTTTTGCTGTCAATGTATCTAATTAAAAAAAAAAACAGCTATGATTTGTTCACAAAAATTGGTACAAAAAATCCTCAAACATAATCAAGCCAAATGTCATTTTTTAGAAAGTGGTGTCCATGCACTTGTTTTCAAGCATGAAGTTTAACTCAGTTTAAAAATGCATCTTTTTCCAAGATATCAGAGTTTGACATCGAAAAATATAACATTTCAACATTTAGCAACATCATAACCTCCCCTGTAACTGTATCTTATGCCCTTGAGCATAGCTCTGATACCTTGTCTGGATTTGGTCATACTTTTCAACCTTTTTTGATTTTATTGGGTTTTAACATGTTTAGGTTATGGCTGAACTATAAGGAATTTGTGAAGCAAGTTAAATAACATTTTTATTTGTTCATGTTTAGGTCATGGCATCCAATAAACCTATACTATGTGGACCTTGTCACAAAGGAGAAATAAACACTAAAGCTGACATCTGGTGTTTTAACTGTGATGAAGGATTATGCTCAACATGTTTAAGTCATCACAAAAGATCCAAAGGAACCTGTGATCATAAGACCATTGATATCAAAAGTTATAAACCCTCCATCCAAGCCATCAAAACAGAATGTGGCAAACATGGTCAACAACTCAACTTGTACTGTCCCAGTCATTTAATGCCTTGCTGTGATGAATGTATTTCCACAAGTCATTCAAAATGTACCGGCATTAAAAGTCTAGTAAGTGTCGTAGAGGAAACCAAAATTGAAAAATCAAAGGAATCTGTAGAGACAGACATAAATTCTATCTTAAATTTATTGGTAACATTAATCAACAACAAATCCAAAAACATTGAAACGGGAGAAAATCAGTGCGTTAGCATAAAGAAATCAATTAAAGGAATTAGACAGGAAATAAATAAACATTTAGATCACCTCGAGAAAAAGTTGTCTCAAGAAATAGATACCATTTGGAATCAGGAAAAATCAAAAGCAACTGATTTCATTTCTGAAATTGAAGGGAAAAAGGAACACTTGAAGGAAATAAAAAGAAATTTACAAACAGTCACATCAAATACTATTAAACTACAATCATTTATTGGTGTACATCAGATTGAACAACAAGTACATCAATGTCAACGTTATGTTGAAGATCTGGAAAATGATGACAGGACCAAAGAATTAGACATCAAAATGAAGCAAAATGATGAAATTGAAAAGATACTGAACAAGTTAGGAACATTAAAATCCCTAGGAGAAGTCATTGTTATAAAGACAGAAGTAGCCATGAATAGAGAAACAAGTGTAAAGAGGAAAGCACAGGTAGAATCAAAAGAACAATCCAACATAAACAACATGACCATTAATATTGAGACAAAGATAAAGATCAACATAAAGAAGATGATTAGTGACATGATTTGTCTGATGGATGGAAGAGTTATAGTAGTGGAAGGGTGTGGTAAAGTTAACCTACTTACTTCTGATGGCAAACTACAGAAACAGTCACCTATACCTGGTAATGCCTGGTGTGTTACACAGATCAATCAGGACACTATAGCCATAACTTATCCTTTTGAGACAGCCATTGAGATCTTCAATATGGAGAATGAAACAGTTACCAAAGTTATCACATTAGACAAAGAATGCTGTGGTTTATCATTCTACAATAATTCTCTGGCTGTAGGTTTGGATAAAGATGAAATCCGTATTATAGACTTGGAAGGAAATACACTGAAGTCAATACAAGTTGAGAGTAAATCAAACCTGCATCAGCTTGTTTACCGTAATGACAGAGTAATCTATAGTGACTATAGAGGTAAAGCAGTATACTGTTATGATGAATCAGGTAAACAGATCTGGCAATATAAACAGGATTTATCAGGACCAAGAGGACTTTGTACAGATACTTATGGTAACATTATTGTAGCAGACAGTAATTCTGATAGAATAATAGTAATATCAAAAGATGGACAGAATAGTAAAGTACTGATTAGTAAAGAGGATAGACTGAAAAATCCTCAGTGTATTAGTTTTAAACATAATGAGTCTTCAGGTTTCATTTGTGATAACAGAGGCAGATACTTGGCAAAATTAAATTTATCTCTCTAAATATGTATAATACAAGTGATGATGTGAAGTTTGAATGTCAAAGGAAAGATAAGGCAAGTGTTCAGATGTTAAAGTGTAATGTTGTTGTTGGGTTAATAACGAATTAATGTTCACATCACATATATACCTGTATAATCTTAAGTGGTGATATTTGGTTTGAATGTGGGAGGAAATGTGGGCAAGTGTATAGATGTTTGTTGTCTGTGTTTATTGTGTTGTTGGTTTACTGTCTAATTAATGTTCACATCACATATCCTTATATTCCTATATTTTAATTTTAACTTATGTTAAGTGGTGATTGTGAGAGGAAATAGGGGCAATTGTATAAGTGTATATGTTTTTATTGTGTTGTTGGGTTACTGTCTTATCAATGTTCACATCACATATCAGATTTGACAGGAACCAAAGAACAAACATTATTATACCAGTCTGTGCCCAAAACTTATTGGGAGTACTGGCCCATAGTGATGTTTACTAGACCTGAAATAATTAGTGTCACCGGTGAGGATCACAAAGTAATCCAAACCTGCTAGGAGGGTTTGGGGGCATGCCCCCCCCCCCCCCAAGAAAATTTGGAAAATTAGACGTAAAATCCTGCATTCTGAGGTTACATTTTTGTATTGGAAGTGAATATAACTTTTCAAAAAATATTGTTTTTTCTCCAGGTCAGATGAAAAATTCTCCTTTCCTCCAATAAAAAATTAATATAGTTCTTTTGACAAAAAAAAATTGGTTTTCTATAAACTTGTACCATTTCAAGTAAAAAGACTCAGCTAAAAAAATCCACATTTTTAGCACTAGTAAACTATTACTCACTTGAGGGATTGTTAATTTTTTGGAGAAAAATTCCCTAATTGGTGGGTGTCCCCAACCTGTTTATTCCTCATCAGGAACATAGATATACCGTTCCCAGTTCCTCACATTCTTTGACATTTTTTTAGTCTTAAATATCAATTCTCTAGCTGGCACTTTATTAGGGTCTGGATGGGGGTCCCACATTTCTGTATTCTTAAATTTTTTATGCCATTTTTCGCAATTCTATTTAATTTAGAACCTCATTTTTCTCTATTCTTTATTTTTTGGTCCATTTTTCTCTAAAAAATATTCTTTATGTTTTTTGCCCTTTTAAACTCCCCATCCACACCCTCCTTCATTGCCACTTTCGTTAATGTTGTTTAAAAAATATGCCTAGATTGTTTTTCTGCATAGCTTTTTTCAACTTGATACTTCTCAGGGTATTCGTGTAGGCATTTTCAACTTTTCAATGTTTTACCTGGGATAAGCCCCTTGTTTCCATTTCAGCATCGAATGAGATCGAATTCTTGATTGTTTGTTTACATTAAGTGGTATTTATACATTGTTTATTGCAAGCACATGGTCGAGCCTCGTTCTCGATTTCGTTGGTAATTAGGTATATTGTTCACGACTGGTTCCAATTGATTAGAAGTAAAAAAAACCCGTATATAGAAAAATAGGGATACCTGTAAACGGATGAAAACAAGGTCGGTTGACAAATTTGTAACTTGTTCTCATAGATTCAATAAAATACCGGCTACAAGTTCACAAACGATTGCAGATGTTCACTAGACCGATCAGGCGATCAATAGTGCTTCTGCACAAGTCCGATGAGATTTTTACTAGACAGGGGCTTCGGGCTACCACTTAACGTCGCAGACTGTTATACACTTTGCCCACATTTCCTCTCACATTCAAACGTCACACTAAATATCACCACTGAAGAATATAAGGATATATAATATTGCTAAGTTGTGATGTTTGGTGTGAAGTTTAAATGCAAAAGAAAATGTAGACAAGTGTATAGATTTGTGATCTCTGGTTCTTGTCTAATCAATGGTCGCAACACAAATCCTTATATTCCTAAGTTGTGATGTTTGGTGTGAAGTTTAAATGTGGGAGGTAATGTAGAAAAGTGTATAAATGTATAATTAGTTTTATTTTGTCTTATTTTCTTTTTTTTTTTTTCTTTTTTTTTAACAACATAATTAAATATTTATTTCAAATATTGGCTTGTTACAATATCCTTCAGGAGTCCAAGCTCCTCCTGATGTTCCCTGTTACAATCCACTTATCACTCAGGGTAGTGATTAGTTGTAAAATACATATTACATTTGTACATCAAATATATATTAAATAATATCACTTAATATGACTATTCATATGTTTTCTAATAGTTGCTAAAATATTACTTTTAATTTTCAAACATACTCTTCTATTGAACTCATTGAGAAAAATTAAGAAAACATTGACATTTTTTGTCTTTTGATCAGATATGTAATAGGCTTTGTAAATTGAAAAGCCAACAATCGTTAAAAAATAGTTAAAGTCAAAATATTCTTTGTCAAAAGTTTTATATCCAAATACCAAGTGCCTTAGTTTTATCTTTAAAGTTATTTTACTGTTCTTTAAAACTTCATTTATTTTATTCCAAAAAAGTTTTAAATACGGACACAGTATAAAGTAGTGATCATAATCCTCTTCTTGTGAACAAAAATTACAAGAACTATTGTTTACAATTTTCCACCTGCATAAAAGTTTCTTTGTAGGTAGAATATGTTGTAGTAATTTCCATCTAAAAATTCTTAGTTTATTTTCTTTTAAATATCTGAATAAAAATTTATATAAATTGTTTTGATATAACACATAATCTATATCAAATATACGCAGCCATTTTTTTGGTCCGATAGCTGGTTCAAATTTTTTATTTATCAGAGACTTATATAAAAGTTTATTTGATAGTGATTCTAATTTTATAGGTAAACCTTCCAATATAAATTGGTTTCTTTTTATATTAACAATACTTTTTACAGAATTTTCCGATTTTAAAATTGCTGCCCAGTCTTTTGGTATCGATTTCTTTACTAAATTAATTTCAGCTATCCAGTTTGATTTATTTTTTAGTTTAATTAAAATTATGTCTTGAGAAATACAGCCTTTTTCATCTATGATATCATTTACATAAATAAGATCGCTTTTAATCCAATTTTTTAAAAATATAGCTTTATTTTCAAATTTAATAAATTTATTGTTCCATAATATTTGTTTTCTTATATCTGTAAATGTTTCTGGATTTTTTGTTAGACCTCCACCAGTTAATTTCCAACATTTAATGATATCTTTATAAAAATCTGGGATGTGTTCAATGCTTTCGCCTGGCTTATCCCCACTGTTTGTTTGAAACACTAACCAGTTTGACCCAAAATTATAAAAATAGTGCTGAGGTTTAATTTTCCAACCTCCTTCACAATCATTTACTAGTCTTTTTACCCACATAGCTTTTAAAGCAGTGAAATAACTCCTTATATCTATCATATCCAATCCCCCCTTTTTATAGGGACCAATAATTGAATTTCTTTTTACTTTATCTGGTTTATTATCCCAAACAAATTTAAAACAACTTTTTTCTATTTCTTTTAAATATTTCTCTGGAACTATGCAGGCAGATCCCACAAAAGTAAAAATGGGCACAATTAGTGTTTTGATAATCAAAATTTTTCCAAAAATAGTAAGATTTCTTTTTTGCCAAGCACAAAATAATTTATTCATCTTTTCAGTTTTATTTTCCCAATTTAGTTTTTCACATTCCTCTCTACAATGCCCAAAGTATATACCAAGAGTTTTAACTGGTCCATTGCTCCAGTTGATTCCCTCAATTTTGTCTTTACAAGATTTAAGCTTTCCTACCCATAACCCCTCTGTTTTATTTCTGTGTAATTTCAATCCTGAATAAGAACCAAAAATTTCAATTTCGTTCATAGCAACTTGAACATCATAGTTAGAACAACAAAATAAAGTAGTATCATCTGCTAGTTGCGAAATTTTTATACTATGATTTTTGCAATCTAATTTGATTCTGATACCTTTAAAATCAGTATTGCTTCTTAATCTTGAAGCCATAATTTCCACAGATAAAACAAATAATAATGCAGATAAAGGACATCCTTGGTGTATACCCTGGTGTTTTTAAAGACATCAGATATCCAACCATTATTCATAACACATGTTTGAATATCGCTATATAAAGTCTTAACCCATCTGATAAAAGATTCATTAAATCCAAAATGTTTTAAAACTGAAAACATAAAATTCCATTCTAAAGAGTCAAACGCTTTAGAAAAATCTACAAAGACTATAGCCCCTCAATTTTGTATAAATCAGTGAAATCATTAATATCTTGTATCTGTCTAAGATTAAAACCAATAAATCTATTCTTTACATATACAGTTTGGTCTTCTTTAATAAGTTTTGGTAGGATCTTTTTCAATCGTTGTGCTAGAGCGTATGATAGAAGTTTCATGTCATTATTTAAAAGAGAAATAGGACGGTAATTATTTAGTGACAATGGATCACCTTTTTTAAATAATAGCGTTAATACACTTGTACGCTGTGAGTATGTAAGTGTTTGATCTTTATATCCAATATTAAGAATGTTTACTACTATGAGTTATTTTTTTCCCCAAATTCAAACCATTTCTCTCGTGATCTTATTTGAGCCACTTTAGCCTTTTGTTCGTAAATTTTGGCAATATTATTTTCAAGTTCTTTAATATCTTTATCTAAATAATTATTCTCAGATTCTTGCTCATCTCTAATTTTCAATTTTATTTCTAACTTTTTTTCAAGAGTTTGTAAGTTTTCTCTTGTAAATTTTGCTTTAGATTTACAATAAGCTATATAGTTGCCTCACTTACCTTTATTTTAAATATATCCCATGCTAAACCAAGGTTTTTTAAATTACGATTACTCATAAAGCAGCTTTTCATTTCTTTATTAACTAATTGTATGTAGTCATTATCTTCTAATATAGAATTATTTATTTTCCAGTACCCCCTTCCCTTTTCTGATGCACCAGTTCTAAATTTCATAAAAACACTTTGATGATCCGTACAATCAATAACTGCAGGTTTAATTTTACAACATTATACTAGTGGTATGAAGTCTGAACCTATCAGAATCATATCAATCCTACTTGCCTGAGATTTATCTTTTCTTCGCCAAGTATATTGTTGTTTATTTTTATTTGAATATCTCCAAATGTCTGCTAAGTTATTTATTTTTATTAAAGATTTTAAACTATTTACTGATTGAATATTTTTAACCTCTGAACGAGTAATTTTTCTGTCTATCGCTTTCATCGTATCATTGAAATCTCCCCCAATTATCGTAATTCCTATCCCTTGTTCTTTTAAAATATTATTTACTATTTTGAAAAATATATTTCTATTACTTTAACAATTAGGTGCATATATACACATTAGTGTAAAAACGCTTTCATCAATTTCTACATTAAGAAGAACTAATCGTCCATCTACATCGGTATGTTTATTTATCAACTTATAATTCAGTGACTTTTTAATGAGAATAGCCACACCCCTACAAGAGGTCGTTCCGTGAATGCAAAATATATAAAATTCTGAATTATTTCTTATTTCTGTTTCTATGTTTTCATCATAATGAGTTTCTTGTAAAAAACAAATAGAACTATTTTGACATTTAATCCATTCAATTACTCTGTCTCTTTTAGCTTTATTTTTAGTACCATTTACATTAAAAACTACTTAATTTTATTAAAAATTTAAATGCCATTTCAAAGTATAATTTCATATTTTTCTATTATTTCCTCTTATTTTCTTAAGTTTTCAAATAAATTTGTTATTTAAAAAAAAAAAATCTTTATAATTATTAATTGGACATTTTTGTTCCAATTTGTACATTCAATTGACAATAATCATTCTTATTTTTGAAGTTAAAAGTTTTCACATAATGAGACAAATGTTTTTTTAATTAAAGAACCTTAGTGAGCACGCTCACATACCCCACGTCCCCACATTGTCATTGGAGAAATATAATAAGTGTAAGAAAAAAAAATTGAATCATAATTTCCTGTCAATATGCACATCTACATAGTATGTCCTTATTATCTACAAAGTTTCATAAAATTATGTTGTGTGGTTTGAGAGGAGTTGCGATGACAAAAGGTTGCAGTAGTATATTGGGCAAATAAGTTCAAAGGGGCGTAACTCCTGGAAAAATATTTGAATCGTAATTTCCTGTCGATATGCACATCTACGTAGTATGTCCTTATTATCTGAAAAGGTTTCATGAAATTCTGTTGTGTGGTTTGAGAGGAGTTGTGATGATAAACTGTTGCAGTAGTACATTAAAGTAAATAAGTTCAAAGGGGCGTAACTCCTAGAAAAAGAATTGAATCGTAATTTCCTGTCGATATGCACAACTACATAGTATGTCCTTATTATCTAAAAAGGTTTCATGAAATTCTGTTGTGTGGTATCAGAGGAGTTGCGATGACAAACTGTTGCAGTAGTACATTAAAGTAAATAAGTTCAAAGGGGCATAACTCCTAGAAAAAAAATTGAATCGTAATTTCCTGTTGATATGCACAACTACATAGTATGTCCTTATTATATAAAAAGGTTTCATGAAATTCTGTTGTGTGGTTTGAGAGGAGTTGCGATGACGATGACAAGAAACAGGACTGTTGGACTGACGGACGGACAGACGGATGGATGGGTCAAAAACATTATACCCTCCGCAACTCGTTGCGTGGGGTATAATAAAGAACCATTATGTAACAGAGCTGTTGAAAACTGCATTAATTCTAAAATTTTATGAAACTTAGTACTTTGAAGTTACTGCTGTTTTATTTCTTTACATCTAAAATTATGGCTTTTGTTGGTCAGGTCATTTAAAGGGGTAAAAGGTGTGGACTAGAAGCTTAAACATGCCAGTGAGTTTTTGTATTTGTTGATTGTGTTGAACATTACTTTATTCTTGAAAAATAATTTTGTGAATTCCAGTACAAAAATATACCTGACTTATGATTAATCTGAAAATGTTAATTTATAAAAATGTAGATTCCACAA